CTTTCATGTCACCTAATTCTTAATTATTTCATTTATTTTATTTATTACTGTTGTAAGAAAAAAATTTTTAGATTTTGACTAATTTAATTTTTTCTATATAGTAATGTAAGCTTATCAAGTTTTCTAAAGGTGCCAAAAAACTTTATTATTATTATTATTGTTATCATTGTTAATTTATCCCAAGAACTACCACCAAACATCTTGTAGAGCCACCTCTACCTTGTCACCACGATTTTAATAACAGGTTAAAACAACAACGGTGGTTCAGTGAGTTGTGGAGAAGTTGCCCAGCTGTGTTCACTATTCACTTCAATTATCTTTTTGTGAGAAAATGAATTTGGCAAAGTTGTGTTGGCTGAAGCAAATAATTGACACTTACTACTAGAGGGAATGTTGGTCTATTCATATTTAGAAATGTCTTCTTAAAAATCAACTGTATTGACAGAAATAATTTATTTTTTCACATCGTTGCTTCCAAAAGCTCGTGACGTTCAACACGTATCTTAATGATGTAATGATTTGCATAATAAGACGTCGCGCCACAAGCCTTACCTAAAACACCATTTCAAACAATTAAATTATTTTGAAACAATGAACAAAACCACGAGAGAAATACAAGTTATCACTAAAAGGCAAACTACAACTATAAAACTAAACAGTGTTCTGGTCAAAGTTCACATATATTTAGGACGTAGTACAAATTACTCTGACCACAAACTACGACAAACGCCAAATTTATGAAAACCGCAATTTATCAATTCACAAATTGCACAACAGCGTTATTAAAATATGACATTCGTGTAAAGCGACGGATTTTATTAGCCCAAACCCTATAAATTTCTACGAGAGAAACCAGTCGTTACTGACTTACCAGCACATTCAACTGTTCCAACGATGGGTTTAGACAGCGAACAAGTGCTGGCTGCCTGAATTATAGGCTTAGAAGCAGTATTCGCCATATCGATCGTTTTTTCACCAGCATTAAAAGCCATTCTGGTGACACAATTGCGCTCCTTCACCGCACTGTAAATTTCTGAGAGTTGGTTGACAGCAGCTAAAGCTACAGGCAATTCACACAGACGAGTCGTGAAAGACTTATTGTCAGCTTCAGGCATCCTTTCGACTTCAGCAGCCATTTCTTCACTTTGCATGGGTGGCACTATCAGTATGAACAACGCAAGGACACAATGTGAAGTAACTTTAAGATTAATGGACAAGGTATCGAGACGCTTATTAATGTGTTCAAGTACGGACTTTGCTCTTGGGCAGAGAGTGAAAATTGACCAATTACAATGAAGCTTAGAAACAGTTTCGTTCCGTCACTAATCTGACCAATCAGAGAAGGTTTCATATTTATAAAATAAGTTATGTCACCGTCTGCTCCGGAGTTCTTGACGGACAAAGTTCGTTACGACACGCAGACATTCACGTGACAGGACAGTGAGTTTAATGACATTGCTTCTGGGTTTTATTTACTCTCCCGTGCTCTCCCGTCTCTACATGAAAATTGATGCAATTCAATCGTACTTTGCAATTCCTTTCGTTTAAAATTGCCTTTTTGGGACAAAGATTTCCCACGGACAAGGTTTTGTGTAGGAACCTTCGATGGAATATTGTGTGACGTTACATAAAACACGACTGAAGTTCATTCAAGGTGAACGGGAGACTTTGCCCCTTACGCTAATACCCCGCCAGAAAATTCATATATAAAATAAGAAAAAAAAAAGTCCCGCGAAGAATGCAACATTCTTTGGGTACCAATTCTTTATTTTATACCCAATACGGAAACATTTTGCCTCTGTTATTCCAGTTCAAACTCAAGGCCCTGGGGCAACACCGAACAGAAATTCGAAAAGGTTCGAAAGGCTCAAGCACTTACGTAACTCATACTATTAGCCATTTTCGACAAACAAACGCTTTCGTTCTCCATCTCATGATGAAATTTTACCTTTGTAAACACTATTTCCCTTCATGCCAGCTTTTTTTAAGTTTTTCCTTCTTCGCTCCAATATTTGTTTCCTCTTGGGGAGTAGACAAACATTGGAAAGGAAGCCGCTTAGATTTTGAAAAGCATCGTCAAAGTTTCGCGTTTAAAATGGTTTCGAAAACGTAGTTTGAAGATCATCAGTTTAATTTTAAAAACTATGACAAGATTAGTGGTAGTGCATCGGAGCGTGGAATCGGAAAGTCTGAAGGTCCAGAATTTTTTCTTTGTCCCTTTGTCCTTTTGGCTCGTGACAAGGCGAAAAAACATCCCTCTCAAAACATCCATAGTTAGCATTTGTTAAGAGGATTCCCGGCGGAAATAACAGTTCACGGAAAAATTTACCTCAATTCAAGCCGATCCATTTCAATGCTTCAAACATTATTTCACGAACTATATCTCAATTTTGTTGAAAAAAAAAATAATTATTTTCGAGATTCCTCCTTAAGAAATGAACACTCAAGAGACGCTCTTCACGGCGCTTTTTTATTTTCAAAAATACCATCAATACTATGTTAGAACGGATTTGTGTCCGGGAGTTCGACTTTGAACGCGTTCAAAGCTCAATAAAAGCAACTGATATGGAAAAACTTTATTGTTTTGACACTCGAAGTAGGAATTTCGTTGACCTTTCACACCAGTCTGTTTGCATGATACTGGCATTTGCCAAATCTCAAGGCTTAATACTGGCACTGCAACTTCCGTTAATGACTTCTGAAAACATGTGATCGTCATGCCTTCCGGTAGGGTCTCGATTCAGCTTATGAAATCAGGCCAAAAGTCAGTTACTGATTCTAAAAAAATGCATTAAGGCTAATTATTAATTACAATTGATATGTTCATTTTCTCTTTTGTTCTAAATTTACATGAACTCTCAATTTTAATGACGTCAAAAACATATTTTCGCTAAACTAACTTGATCACTTGATCATATGATTAATATTAAGACCACACAGGCCCTCAAAAGATTGTTAGCTTTAAAAATAGATTGACTGCTCAGTGACGTTATTCCTTATTTTTTTTTTTTTAATTTTGTTTTTTTATCCCAGTGCAAAATTAATTCTGTAATTTATCGAACTACGTTTTGGGAAGGAGGGGGTGAAAATAGAGTGGGTGCAAGGTTCTTTTTCGCTCCAATATTTTCCCATGCGTCCAAAAGTATGCAAAACTGTCCATTCCAGCGGCACACATGAAAGAAAAGAGCAAAGAAACAATATTCTATCGTCACCTAAATTAATTTCATTCGTTTTGCAGGAACTGACCAAATAGCAAGATAAATTCCGCGTGCATATGCAACCATCTGTATATAAAGCCAATATGTAAAACGATTTTTTAACGTTGATTGTCAAAGTCGAAGTGAACGCCCTCTTGCTGAAGCAACAGATGGCAGGCGAAGGGGATAAAGAAGCTTGCGTTCACGAAACCAAGAGGTCACCTTTGCAAATGCCACAAGTTTTCAACCGTCTGGTTCAGTTACCGATTGTAAAATCAACTTGTGAAAAAGTGTCTGAGATGTACGAACGTACGAAGGAGTATAGTCTTGTTTCGATGGTCGGGTTGAGCGCTGCAGAGGTGTCGATAAACGCAGTTGTGGTCGCCGCCAAGGTGACATATACTTCTTTGCCTTCCTCTGGTGTGATGGGAAAAGTGAAAGAAGGTTTCGAAGAAAAAGGTAAGTTTATTGATGGATTTCTGCAGCTCGTCAAGGTTGTCTGAGACCGCTAGTAAAATCGTAGGGCTTTGTTAATGAGAGGACGTGTGCAATTTGATGAGGAAGGGTTGGTTTATTTTGTCTCGCTTAGATTCTCAAACACAATTAAGTCAATTTGGGTACAGTCTTATCGGAGCCTTTTCCTTTGATATTACAATTAGTAATATTTTGTTAGACTTTGCAAAATTCAGTTATTACCATGTTTCCTGCAAGAGTTCAATTTCACCTTCCCCTAATATGCAAAATATGAGGCTTTGAAGCAAAGAAAAGTGTGATAAAGATTTTTTTAATCATTTTGCAAGGGTTTGCAAATACCTTACCTTGAAGAGTAGACTGCAGCATCAAATTTAACCCTTTGACTCTAAGAGTGACTAGCATCTATTTTCTCCTAACAATATCGCCTCTGGACCAAATTTTAAGGTCGCGAGAATAAAGGAAATGATCACTAACTAAAGCTCCTGATCGTTAAACAAATTCTCCTAGTCAGCACCTTAGGAAATGTATTGAGAACAGTATGGAGAATATGCATACCAATTTTAGGGGTGTGAAGGGTCATAATACATTTTCAAACAGTTTTCCAAGCTGATTCGATGGCCTGTGATGGACTGACATTCCTGGAGAAAAAATGGCCGATAATAAAGGACAACACAGAACAAGTAAGTAAAAAGCCTCTTACAGGAAAATATCAATTTTGAGTCAAGACGTCATTATCGACAATACGATCTGCGATGAAGGTGCAGAAATTTTGTGCTAAATCTGGTACGAAACGGTCGTAATTGTGAGCTGGGAATGGCAATGTTGCACCTTCAACAATGGTTTATTTTCCCATTTGTGCATGGCTGTCAAACCTTTGAATAGGAGTAAGGCCGAGGATGACATTGTTATGAATCGAAACTTGCTATTTTCTTAGGTAAATTACCGCTCTGTTATCATGCTAAATAGCTTCTCATCTCACGTTCTTTATTTAAGAACGTCTTCCAGGGCTGCACACCCACTCAAGGGTAGGCATGTCGACTTGGCACATAATTCAATTTATTGCAAAATGGAGGATCAGGGCTATAGGGCGTGGTCGCGTACGACAGGATTTTTTTTATGACGATGTTTAAAATGGTGTCTTTATTTCAGGGGTATGCTGGATTGTTTCCAGCTTGGGTAATTTTATTTTTGTCTTTACAAGAGAAAATTAAATTCTAGGATGTAAGCGCTACCCCACGTCTTCCCGGGTAAAACCTTATAATTGATATGTCTTTTGTTTCTGTTGACAGGTTTTGACAATCGGAGCTAAGAAACTGGAGCAGTCAGATCTTGCGGAAGTCTTACTCACTGTTACAGAAGCAGCAATTGAATACCTCCTCCCACCTCAAGAGAAATGTATGAAGGAGGGTGCTGCTGAAGCCCCGCTTTCCCAAAGTAAAGTCGATCGAATCCAGGGAATCGTTAATGTGATCAAGGGTGAAGGGGAAAAGGCAAGGAAATGAATAATTATTTGACAAGGCGCAATAATGACAGTGCATGATTCGAATTCTAAGCCGTGCTCTCGATCTTCTGTTTGATTTCCTTGAATTTTATGTGACTCTTCTAGGTTATAACGCGGGCAGCCTCGGTTCCAGGTCGAGTCACTCTAGCTGCGATTGATGGCGCCAAAACTGTAGCCACGTGGTCATGGGGCATCTCTCAAATCCTGCTGCAAAACGTAACGGTAAAGGAACAAATCCAGCTACCAATTCAGTATAAATACGTTCTAATCGGTAAATTAAACTAATTTCAATCGAGGATGCGACAATTTAGGTTAAACTCTTCGCTTTCGAGAGTGAATCGAGTAAATTCAGTAGCTCGTCAACACAAAGCAAAAAGTGCTGATTGTGATTTTAACTCATTTTATGTGTTAGTGATTTGTCGATTTTTAAAAGTAATTTTCATAACCCACCCTTGCCAATGATAGGTGATAGGAAGAATTGTCGGAGCCTTTTGGGACGTTTGGAACGCTACTAAACGGAAAACTTTTTTTTTCTTGCCGTCGTTCCTCGGAGGAAGAGGAGGAGAAGGAAAGGTTTGTCATTTACATTGTTGTACTCCTTTCTGAAAAAACAAACTGATCTTGCTAATGTCATAACAGTATTTTGCAGAACACCTTTCAGTATCTTTGCCCGAAGACTAATTGCCTTGGTTATCCAAGACTTTGATTGAAATTCAATTTCTTTACTGAAGATAACCGTTTGAGACAAATGTGTTCACCAATCATTCTATGATATCAGAGATATTGGAGTAAAATTAATCAAAAGTGTCATATTTATGAATCAATATTGGAAGTAACGATAGCATACCAATCTTTAGATGCACCTCATAGTTAAAAATTATTCATTCAAGTATAGGTGGTTCTTCGTGTACTCCTTTAGATTAGGAAGAAAAGAACCCCGATTACTCAGCATGATTAAGCATTTTTGAATTTTGCAAAAAACTTTTGCTTTCCCCTGCCCTACAGGAGCGGCTTGGACGAAAGAAAAACCCGACAAGATCCAGTCGCTACAAACCTAAAGCAGAATATTCTCGAATCATCGATGCTTCTCAACCATTCCCCGTTTCTCCCGAGCGGAAGCGAAGGTACGACAGAGAAGACGAAGACGGTACCTTGATAGTGGAGCTTATACACGTCAGCGAGGATTACGTTTCCGATGAAGATCCGGACTATGTTCCGGATGAAGCCGACCTCGAGAAAAGTGAGTCGTCGGAAGACGAAGACGATGACGACGAAGCTGAGGATAGAGAAGACGAACAAGGTGACAAAGATGAAACGGAGGCTGTCGAAGTGACGGGATCAAAGGAAAGTTCCCCCAAAAAAGAGGAGAAGTCAAATCCAAAAGAGTCAGAGGAGGCCAGGGAGGAAATGAAAAGGGAGCGAAATGGCGAGGTCAAGGATACGTCTAAGAAAAACGTTTCTGTCAAAGATGAGAAGAAAACAGAGAACAAGGGTGGTGAACCTAACCATAGCCAGAAAAACGACGGAAAGGAAGTTGGTGCCAAGAATCATGATTTATCGGAGAAGGATGCAAAGATAGCTGCCAATAGCAGTAAAAAATCAGGAAGTCCTCATAAAACTGAAGAAAGAATTGTCCTGTAAGACTGATTGCATCTTTGTAACCTTCCTTACCACTGAATTGTATGTTTCTTTTTCTAGTTACAAGGAATGCTTCATGGAGACATGTGTAATTATTGTATTTATCATGTTTGTCCGTGAAAATAGGTAAGCCCAGCACTACAAGGATTTAACGTCATTATGCTCATAAGAGCTTCCGCGAAATGAGTATCTGTTAGAAGTAAGTATGTCCATGATAAAGTGTATGATAAAGGACAGTTGCAGCCGAGAAAGAACAGCCTTTGACAAGTGTGTGTTGCCATTTACGGCGAATAAAAAGTATTATTTTTCGGTGTTAATGAATATGACCGATGGGTCGTTTGTGCGGCGTGGACTGGGCCACGGGAAGAAAATATCGGCTTCGTTGTTTTTGGTTCTCGTTCTTCTTCTAAAGGTTTTCCCCGGGTCCTCCCATTATTTTTGCTCCTAAAACCAAAACAACAGTGGACGAAGAACCTCCTAAATTTCACTTCCAGGGTCTCTCTTAAAAACCTGAGAAGCTTGAGCAATCCTGGTGGGAGCGTGACTGTAAAAACTCCAGTTATTCATTTCGTTTTGTTTTTTATCCATTTCATATTCCCTAAAGCAACATGTATTTTCCATTAAATACACACCTAATAAGTCTTAACCGAGCCCTTCGTTGTGATTCGGGAGGATAACACTCTGCAGCGAACAGATCCCGATTGTAATCTTGTTTTAGTTTGTGGACACTCGTTCAATAAGTAGCTATTAGCATCCGATGGGTAACATTATCAGGCCACCCATCGATCGAGCAGCCAAACCGGAGTGCTAAGTTTGAAAAAGATAAACATGGCAACAATAATCCTGCTGCTTTCGAATGTTGCAAGCTGCATCAGTGAATGTCAATAAAGGGGGGAAGTTTAACCAAAGTAACGAATTCAAAACGCCCATTTAATTCCAGATGTTTTCTGTTTTGGCGTAGTCTGATGACTTATGGCGTCTTAAGACAATGCAAAACGATTTTTTTCAAACGAATTCACAAGGATTTTCGGTTGCCTCGAGGTCTTTTGTGAAATAAAAATGCAAATGTGCTGATGCAAACGAGTGGATTCTTAAATAATAACCCACTCAACACAAAGTGTCGCATGTACGTCCAAATTTGTTTAATCTTACGTTCCATATTTATTCTCTTCATTGGCTCAAGTTACTTCGAGCGTGACTTTTGTAACAAATGCCGCCTTTCTCTTCCGACTTGCATAATTTTTTAGCCAATGACAGACATTCCTGGGCTTAAAAAGCGTGTGCCACCTGCTCGTGTACGTATCAAAAAAGAAAAGGAGATTACCTTCGGACTGTGTTGTCAGAGCTCGAAATGGCGTATAAAAAGAATTCAAATATAGAACCCTGCGACTACATGTTCAAGGTCTTGCTCCTTGGAGATGCTGGTGTCGGAAAGACAAGTTTGATGTGGCGGTTTTCGGACGATATGTTCAATCACACCTACATCTCTACAATTGGAATCGATTTCAAATTACGAACTATTGACGTGCAAGGAAAAAAAGTTCGTCTACAGATCTGGGATACGGCAGGCCAGGAACGATTTCATGCTATCAGTGTGTCGTATTATAGGACCGCGTCCGGAATTATGCTTATTTACGATATAAGTCGCAGGCGCTCGTTTGAAAACATTGCAAAATGGCTGCGAAAAATTGACGAACATGCCAAAGAAGATGTCACTAAACTACTGATAGGAAACAAATGCGACATTCAGCATCCAAGAGCTGTCAAACGCGAAGAGGGGGAACAGCTAGCTGACGAGTACGATATGCCTTTCTTTGAAACAAGCGCCAAGGAAAATGAAAGCATCGATGAAGCTTTTGAATGTGTCGCAGAGGAAATGCTATTTAAATTTGTATCAGGATGGAGTGCAAAAGAACAGGAAAGAGTTACAAACGGAGCGGTAGTTGATATAAAGAAAAAGAGTCGCTTTGTGAGGAAAAAGGAGAAAACTTGTTGTTAATTTTGTTTTGCTCTATCCGGCATGAAACTGAAAGAACATATAATTTTCTTAATTTTGGTTTCTGTAGCTTGTGAAAAGGAATGATTTCTCCCAGTTTCGTTGCAGTGGCGAAAGATCACGCTAACCTTGTTCCTTCACAATGCGTTGTTTACATTCCCTCTCGTTACAGGTACTCAATAAATATTTAAATATCAATTGCGCAAATTTAATGCATAATCAGACCATGAAACTGCAATACACAATGACTGGAACGCTTAGTCATCTTAGTCAAGTTTAGTTTTCATGGTGATATCAGCCAAAACTAATTCAAGAATATCCATGGCACAGAAAAGATCTCCTCTTTGGAATTTGAGGGTACTGGTGATTTCTGGAAATATATTCAGAGGGCTCGGGAACACTTGACTAATTTAAGAGGATTTACCTTTGAAATGCGCGTAAATCTAACAGCTGGATTTTACCATGTCATTCTGCAGGTCATACAAGGTATACGTAGAGGTAGCGAGCAAGGTAATACATGTTAGACCTTATTCAAAAGCAATGACAGCTACTTCTTCCCAACCCCTAGTTTCAGCGAGAGGCTGTTTGTGCGGGATTTACGGTCGTCAGTCTTATGTCGGGAATCTAAGGATCAGCTTAGTTTCAGTTTTCGGTCCCTTGCCGCCTTAATCACCCTGGCTACTCCTCAGGCAGTCAGGACTTGTATTCCGGAGGGCCCCCACGTCCTTCTGAACCCTTCCGCACTGCGTCATTATTTGTGCGATTATACCGCTGACAAGGAGCCAAAATGACCCTGGGCTCGACATTGCCCGATCAAATGCTCAGGCATTGGTCAGCAGTTGCCATAATAATAATATCAATCCAAAATGGCGGAGGACGATGGACCTCCACCAAACAAGAGGAACAAGTCGGAGAAAAATATTTTGATTGGAGTCACTGGAAGCGTGGCGAGTATAAAGTTACCGAAACTTGTAGATGAGCTGCATCGCTTACAACCAAAGGTACCATACATTTGTGTAATCTCTGAAATCTTTCGCGATGTGCATTCAAGCGGACCTAGAAACATGTCACTCACTCGTCTTTAGGGTTGTTTACTGATTATCAACATCTGAGAGTGAAATTACTTACTGCCTTGAAATTTGCGCTCTGATCCCGATCAAAATCTACATTCTTCTCATGTAACATATCAATTTTTAATTCACATGGATAACATGTGGTGAATTTGATTGTCACCATGCCCAATTGTGCTTTACTAATTGGTTTACCTTAATTAGGTTTACCTCAATTCTTGATCCCCCTCTACTACACACAAGTTGGACCAGATTGACTTGATACCAAATTACTTGAACAGCTGAATAAAGGGGGTAAATTTGTACAGAAACAGTGGTGCTATGTCGGTGGGGGACAATTTGGTTTTATCAACTGAGTTAATAAATGTAAATTGTCCACCGTATGTAAAGAGTTTCAAAGCTGACGTTTCGAGCGTTAGCCCTTCGTCAGAGCGAAAGAACTTGAACAGCTGACATACGTATCACTGTATCGATTTGAAGAAAGTAATTCCTTGTTCCTATTTATTTCTTAATACAAACAGCCAAATATCCAGGTTGTTGGAACAGAACACTCTATGCACTTTTTTGATAAAGACAAAATTCCTGTGAAGGTTTTCAGTGACAAGGACGAATGGGAGGTAAGCCCAGCTTTGTTTAATGTTACATCATGATGTTGTATTTATTTGTATATTGTTCTTTATCTAATTTATTTAGTGCTTCATGCATATGATTTAAGAACTGGTGTATCTCATGTGGGAAATATCTACCAAAGGGTTAGCAAAGAGGGGAGATTTTCTTTAGGAGTATGTGCTCCCCTTCTGTCTGGTAAGAGATAACAAAGAAAACCTTCATATGCCCCAAATGGCAGCAAGAAATATTAAGAGTAGGAAATCATTTAGTCAGAAATTTTATCTACATTTTAATTATTCCTGTTCCAAGGTCTTCCTTTTTAAAAACACATTTTTGTTTTCTGCCTTTTCACAGTTGTTGGCTTAGCACATTTCTCTGATGTAAGTAATGATTGTGATCTGTTTATACTGGTAGGCATGGAGTACAATGCAAGATCCAGTTTTGCATATTGAGGTAAAAACTTTTGTTTTATTTCTAAAAAAGTTACCAGAGGAGTCCAATAGTTTGTTTGAGATAGTTTTGAAAATGCTGTAGTTTTCATGTTCAAAACACTTTCTTGAAACATCTAAGAAATGTTTATTACTTTCCAGTAGCTGCGACGTTGGGCTGACATTTTGGTTATTGCACCACTTGATGCCAACACTATGGCCAAAATGGCAAATGGTTTGTGTGACAACCTCTTGGTGAGTTCAAACCTTTAACTTTCAACTCACTTAGCAAACTTAGCCATTGCTGACAACATATTCTTTTGCTTATTACCAGACCTGCATAGTCCGTGCATGGGATCTTAAGAAACCTTTACTGTTCTGCCCAGCAATGAACACTCTAATGTGGGAACACCCAATCACCTCTGAGCAGGTTAAACGACTAATTAACCTAGGATATACATATGTCCCACCAATCAAAAAGACTCTGGCATGCAAGGACACTGGTAAGATTTATTTGGACTGTTCCATGTATACACCTGATGTTTTTCTTCTGTAAAACATGAATTTGTTCCTAGAACTTATTCTATTATTCTGTTAGTTTCTCTGTCTATGATATAAGTCAGCCAGTCAATCAAGCTCTCAGGAACTCTGCAACAATTTTTCTTAAATACTAGTATATGGAAAATTAAAAGCAAAAAATACATGTTGAGTCATGTAATTTGCCATCTTTTTTTACATATTTTAGGTATTGGAGCAATGGCTGAAGTTACAAGTATTGTAGCAATAGTAAAAGATCACTTGGAAACAATGAAATGATATAGTATAAATTTCCTTTTTTTTTTAGTTTATAATATCAACCAGAATTCTGTAGGGTCAAGTTTACACATTACATTTTTCCTTTGAGCAACATAAAAAAAATATTATGTATTGCAATGGACTAACATTTTTCTATCATTTTTGACAAGTCCTGTTCAAATAATACATTGCATTTGTTTAAGATTAAAGTCTATGATTGCAACTTATAGATCAAACCCAATTCCCTTCACCCTTAAGGGCCGCGAATTCAACATACTCTATTCATTTGCCTACAAGCTAACCTATCATTTCAAGACCTTAAACTCAGTCTTGGAATGCAATGTATATGAATCGACAATACTTAAAACATTTACAGCTTAATAAAGCTGTAATAAATTAGATTTATATACATGTATAGTGAGGAAATAAATACATTGTTTTATTCTTTGTTTGTCTCACATCTTTTCATAAGTCAATTGATAACCACATGTCTTGCATGTTTTTGTCCATTCATCAGTTTCCTCATTATATTCTTCTTCTTCCTCAAATTGATGCTGGTGTCTACTAGTATCTTTCTTCCATGTGCTTGTTCTTACTGCACGACGAAGCTCTGTTGCATGGAAGAAAAGATCAAATGAGACCAGAATGGTTGGTAAATTTTGAATGGTTTTAGATTTGAAAGATGTAAAATGAAGCAAACCTTTAACTTTCTTGTCAAATTTTCTTTGTTTTTGAACTTCTCTCTTCTCTGCTCTGCCTTGTCTAGCTTCTTCAAGACCATCCTCTCCTCCCCACACCTCAAAAGCGCGTTCAACAATCTACAGCAAAGAATGTTAGTACCACTCATATCAAAACCTAACTGATGATGATGTTCTTAACCCTTTAAATCCTGTGAGTGACCAAGACAAAATTTCTCCTTACTATATCCACACAATATCATGCAGACAAGTGATGAGAATAAAGAAAAATATCAATTATGGGATT